TTACGGTCGACAAAGACATCTCCTTGCTTGGAGTAACACTCTGCGGAAGCAAAAATTGTAAATATTCTGTAGCTATTCAGATAAAACTTAATTATAATTATAGTTGGATAGATCATTGTAACAAAGCAGGAAAATTTTCTTCAGTGTGTATCAAGTCAGATCTAGGTTCTTACTACGGTTTTAATGTTTTCTTCGACAGTCCAGTTGACATAAAGAAAGATGTCAGATACCGTTTGGTAGCCGCCATTTCTGACGGCGCCAACTCTTGTTTTGGTCAAAATGGTCAATATTCTGTTGTTTGTTCAGGAGTTAGATTTCATTTTTTAAACAGTGTTGAGAGTAGCAATGGAACGAAAGTTGAACGAGGACAATTTCCAGGGTTTCTTTTTACTATAAAATAAATGGTCAGTTAATTGACCTATTCAAATAACCTTATGTAAACTCTCAGTTTTGAAATATATCACCCAGGTTCAATAAATTTGTTTATTCAGGAGATTTCCATTCAGCCTAAATTTGTAGCACCTTGGAAACTATAAAGGACTTTGACAAGAGAAAATCTCTTGACTTTGAACAGTTACCTTGTAAACTTTTCAGCATATGAGGCAGTCTCAATCTGATACGAGACAGGCCGTTAAAAAGCCTGCCGATGTAAAGAGTGTTCTTATATAGTATAGAATTGATTGTTTCTTCATATATTAACTCTACAATTGCTTGTAATTTTGCTATTTTGTAGTTTAGCAGTTGCAATTGCAATATTCTACAATAGAGCAGTTTTTAATTGTGTCGTAAAACAAAAACCAATCCAGTTACTCATCAATTAAAGTACTTAACCAATCTTGAACCGTAGTAAAACCAAAACCAAAAGTAATTGCCTGATTACTTTCAACACTCAATTGAAAACCACTCTATTATGTGAATAATATCATTTGATTCCTAAATGCTAATTAAGTAGTAATGCTTTGCATATTTGCTTTGATCACACAAACACGATGTACAATACGTGATTCCTTGTTCCTATATACTCCACATCATAATGTGCTTTGTTCAGGTGTCATATTGACAGTGTCTAAGACATAGGCACGCAAGGCGTGCAAGAGTTATTTTTTTGTGAATTAAAAGCCCCTGCATGTAGCAGCACTCAGAGCACTCTTCTTAACAGTTATGATTAATCCAACAAGTTTCTTTGGCAACGATGTACAGTTAAAAACACAAATTCAGAATTTATTTCACCTTACGATATGTGATATCAAGCGTACTTTTATCAAGGCTTCATTTCGGCAGTCGATAAGTGGCTTTGTTTATTAGAACTACGTGGAGCTGTTACCAGCAAGACAACTAAACGTCATGCAGTCTGCAATAGTAGCTAACGCTAAACGGCAGATTGGTGTTGATTCTGGATAATTTTTCTGACT